TGAGCTTTTACATTTGTCTTTCTTTTCTTCCCACGATCACCAGAGATCCTTGCCATTGACCCATCCTCAGGGCCCAACCCACATGTCCTATCTTACATACTGGGTGATCCTGGAAGAGGCTTCACAACCTCCTGTAGGCGCCACTGCTTGGAGCCCCTGAAAACATGTGTGAAGGAAGACAGCAGGGTATGGCAAAGCGACTGGATATGTAACCTACACATTATGTGTGTGCTACAGGTTTTTCTTTTAACACAAGTCATACATTTTATACTTTTAAGACTATATAAACAAAAATCATGTATTAAATATATTTTCCCTATTCATCTCAGAGGCAAGATCCACTATCAGTATGTAGGCTTAGTTTCAGAAGATATTCTATGTACATACAAACATGCCATGCCCTCCCTGTTAGAGGACACACTAACCTTTTACTGGAGCATGATCACTTGTGCAAATTACCAAGATTCCTATTAAGCTTCACTAGCTTCCAAGGTAAAGTGCCAACGCTATTTTCTAAGATCAAGGATTAAATTCTCCATGCAACAGTGTGATTCTACGAGGATGCCGAAATCACCAGGTGCTAGTCTCCATTTCCAGCTCAGCAGCATCACTAATGAGGAACCTGGGCATAACTTTTCTCCATTGGCTACTACAGACCTGTAGAGCTCAGAGATAAATTCTTCCTCAAGAATTTATTTTATTTTGCTTTTGGACGTAGGCCACTAATCTAAAATTTGAGATTGCCACATTGTTTTCTTGGTTTCCAGACCTGTTGATTCCTGACTTTGTGAGAAAGGACAATCTGTTGGTCAGGAATTCAGAACAGATTTAATGTCCTGTAAAAGAACATCCCAACCTCATAATATCAAGACAGGAATACAGGGAACTTGGAGATATAAACATAGTTAACATGTAAGAAAAGGGATTTGCGATTCATGCCTATTTTCACATTGATATTATACCCATGGTTTTAATATGGCTCTGATGCAGAATAATCAAAACAAGAAAAAAGGCCAAGTAATTACGAAGAGACAGCTTAAACAAACAGCTAAAAATATTGTATCATATGCTTGGGCTGCCATAACAAAGTGTTACAGTGACTTAAGAGAAATTTCTCTTAGTTCTGGAGGTTCGATGTCTATGATCAGGATGCCAACATGAGTGATCCATGGCTTCAGATAACAGTTCCACCACTTCTTATCTTTGAAATCACAGGAAAACTTCTAAAATACCCTGTTTCACTGGCCTGATGGCTCAGTGAACTAAAGTGCTTGCCTAGGCAGAGCGCAGCAGCCAGGGTTCATTCCCGGCACGCCATGCTGGCCCTGGCCCCTGGGTGCGCTGAGACCACAATTGAGACTGGGCGTGGTGGCAAGTGCCTGTAATCCCAGCTCTTCAGAGGCTGTGAACAGGAGAATCAGTACAAGTCCAATCTATGTAGTGAGACCCTGAAGACCTTGTCCTAAATAGAGAAAAATAAATACCCTGTTTCTCTTGTTTGTTGTATAGGGTGGAGGTGACAGTATCTTCTTCATATGTGTGGGAGAACCACGTGGACTCAAAAGGCCTTTGCTTGGCCCATGTGGTGAACAGAGTTATGACTCACATAAATTCAGTACAGCTTACTAATATATCGTGGGGGAAATACTGACAGTTTTCTAGATTCAGCCTTGCTGGTGAGAGAAGGCCCTTACACTGGATCCTAGAGCACAGACATTTCTTAGGAGATGGGTGAGGCTCCACTTTTACCAAGAATTCATCTCACATAATGTCTAGAAAAGAAGCGTTGATTACCTGTCAGATACTCTCTACAGTCCAAAGATGATGGCATGATGTCCAGGAGTGGTAGAAGTGTATACAATTGGCTGTAATATAAAGATGTAAGTGCTATGCTAAGTCATTTCAATAACCAACGACAGAAAGATAAATGATACCCAGCATATCTGAAGACTCCTTTATACTCCCCAAAATAACCACAGTGACATTCAAAACTCCATGGTCATTTTCCCCAGTGAGGACTAAGGAATGTCCTGTGCTCAGCCCACTCAGTAAAATCCCCTTTTGGCTCCTCCTATTCATGTATGGTCTGTTTGAAAAGAGGAGCCACAAATGGATGACTGGACATGGTAGAAACCAGTTTTTAGTTCACATATCTTAGGTATTATGTTTTCTTTTCCTTCTTTCTCTTTTTTTTTTTGTACCAGGGATCAGACTCAGGACCTTGAGCTTTCCAGGGAGGTGCTTATGCCGCTGAGCTACTTCTCTGGCCCAGGTATTGTTTTCTAAAACAACATTAAAAAAAAAAAGTTCTACTAAGTTTTATTTGTGTTTAACTCTTAATGCTTTTTAGTGGAAACATGAAATGTAGTTCCTGAAAATCAGGACTTTTGTACCTTTCTATTCAAAATTAGAGACTCAGTCAAAATATCTTAGTTGGCAGTTGAGGAAATGCAGTCCAGAAAGATGACCCAGATAAGGCCCCACAGCTATATCCAGAGAGGGAGGGCTGAGATTTGATTTCTCTGACTTCTATCCTGGGCTTGGTCATCTCTAAATATAGTTGTGCTGGCAATGAGATAGCACTGAGGTAGAGGGGCACTCCCACGAGTGTCACCATGTTAACTAGAGATGTAGGAGGTAGCTGGTGCATTTCTCAGGAGAGTTCCTCCTTAAACACCAAATGTACTCTTGATATTTTAGAGACTAAAAGAATGTTCTTTCTTGGTAAAAAACTTTAAAGACTATAATAAAAGTTTGTAGAGTTCTTTTTCAAGGGAAAATAATTTGTAGGTGGTCTGTCCTTTAATATAATTTATATAAGGAAGGCACATATAGCTAGGCCTGTTGGTTTATACCTGTAATTCCAGCACTCTGAAAGGCTGAGGCAGGAAGATCAACATGTTCAAGTTCTGCCTGGGTAACTTAAGACCATGTCTGAAAATTTTTAAAATGTTAAAAAGATCTGGGCGTATAGCTCAATGTGAAAGCCTTGAATTCAGTCCCCATTCACACACACACACACACACACACACACACACACACACACACACACGGTAAATATGGTTAGGTTAAAAAGCTCCCTTAATCTTGAGCATAAAAATGTGTTCATTATAATTATCTGTGTATGTGTGCATTGCGTGTGGTGCTGGAACCTTCGAACTGAGCTACATCTCTAGGCCTTTAATTTTGTTCTTTAAAAACATTTTTTTAAACAGGTCTAAGTCCGTAAATTGCTAAGGCTAAGCTCGAACTTGCAGTCTGCCTGCCAAATGAACTTAGTAGTTTATTATACATAAAGAGTACAGGCCCGGGGAGATGGCTCAGTGGAATAAGCGCTACCCTGGCAAGCGCAAGGGCCTGAGTTCAATCCCTGGTTCAAAAAAAAAAAAAAAAAAAAAGTACATAACAAAATGATACAGTTCAGCTTCATTTTTACTTACTCATAACAAGAATTTTAAAAATCTCCATGCTGCACTATCTCTAATACACACTTAAATATAAAGTATTTCACATTTAACACAGATAATCTGGACTGATATGCAAACAGATTTTAAGAAAATCAGAAAAAATCAAATGACTGTGTGTGTGTGTGTGTGTGTGTGTGTGTGTGTGTGTGTGTCCGAACGGGATGTGTGTCTTCATAGTCACAAAATGAGCTCCAGTCTAACCTGGGAGCAGGCAGAACACTTTGGGTATGGCTCAGCAGGGAATGGAGAGGGGTGAGCTATAGCCATCTTTCATAGTTTCTCTTGGAGCCCCAGCAACTAGCTCTTCCAGCATATAGGAAGAGCTTCTTTTGGCTTCCAGGCAGTGGGTTACGACATCCCAAGGACCTGGTGATGGTCAAGCCTATGTGCAGCTGCTTTGGGAAACTAGGGAAAGAGAACAAGGAGAGAGGTTTTTCTTCTTTTTGTGGACTGGGCAACAGGGCTGTTGGTGATGTTTCTGGGGTATAAAGTAGGAATAGAGGTTGGAAAGATTTGCTACTGTATGTTAAGACAGGTATAAGAGAAGATATTGGAAAGCACCTTTTTTTTTTTTCAGTACTGGGGATTAAACGCAGAGCCTTCCCACTAAGCTCCATCCTCACACTCCCCACTCCCATAATTTTCTGAGATGGGGTCTTGCTTGGTCCTGAAGTTGCCCAGGAAGGTCTTCAACTTGCAATCCTCCTGCCTCTGCTTTCTAGGGTGCAGAGATTACAGAAAATCTGCAAAGTCACTTTTATTTAAAAGGAAAATTCCTGGAACAACTATATTGGATGTGGTACTATAGGACTTTATCCAACCAAGGTCTAGCACCAAAATAATTATTTTGATTTTAGATTTTGAGGGTTCTTTTAAAAGTACCACCTAAGACTGATATGTTAACATATGAAATGTAGAGAAATTATTCTAGCTAACAAATGTATTTGGAAATGCACTGGAAACAAAAGAGCCAATTTTTAAACTTCAAGTAATTTAGAACATTAAATCCAAAGCCATTTTGAGAATTTCCTACTTTGTTAACCTAAATGAAAACAAATGCAAAGCTATCGCAGAGCTTCTTGGTCAGTTCCCAGCCTGGAGAGAGTTACAATTTTTCATAGATCTGCCTGCTGACCACATAACTTTTAAATTTTATTTTGACTCCCAAAAAAATAAAGCATGTGATTTGTAAGTGTTTTATTATTTGAGAAGTTTTGAGAAATTACCAAATTATAGCACATCAAAAACTGGGACTAGATTTAACAATTTGAAAACTTTTCTAAAACTAAGTTCCACACAAAACAGGATAAAAACAACAAAGATGTACACTACACGGCTGAAGGAGCACACTCTTGCTAAGCCTTGTCTTCAGAACAAGTTTCTTTGCATTCGCTTCCGTGAAGAGTCAAGAGGTCATGACTTGCTGGTCACCATCAGCGACCTTACAAAACAACCTGGGAGGGAGTCGTTCTCAGGTGTTTTTCCTGGTTGCTCACCTCTGTGCTGCTGCACCCCAGTCCCAGTGTGGTGAACTCAGTGCCTGTTGGGTCGTGGGTCGCACTTGTCCCTGGTGCCCCGCTTCCTTGGAGGAGAGTAGCTCACGGAGCTTCGAGCATGCAAGCTGTGCTTGTAAGGATGACTTCTCTGCTTCTTCGTGTCTTTCTGGTCCTGGCTTTTTGCGGTTTCCTTAGTACCCTCTTTTTGTTCATGGTCTTGCTCTTTATGGGAGGGCAGTGTGTTCTTAATTGTGTTAATTAGGAATCTTTTATTTGTACCAGCAAGAGGACACTTCATCCTGAGGGGGTGAGAAAAGGAAAACCATCTTTAATAAAAGAGCTAACTCCCAAGCTGAGAACAGTGTCTTGATTATTACCAAAGAATTGCCTTACACAGAATCAAGCTGCTGAGTTTGTTGGGCTTTCCTTGCATGCCATCTAGTGTAAACTCAGAGTACAAGGCAAAGTCAAGACACTGAGAATTCCTGAGACGGGCTGACCATGCCTGTTTACAAACCTTCCAACTTTTCTTCCCTACTGGGACTAAATTTACCATAAACTTTATGTACAGGTATGCCCACAATGGCAATTAATAGAATTATTTAATATTTTCTTTCTACCCAAATGATTTGACTATACTGACTCCAATTAAACTTAACTGTAGCATGCTTTTTATTACCAAAGAATGAAAATGTCTCTGGTCAAGCAATTAAAAAGTATAATCTGGTACATCTTGCATATAACAATTAAGTGATCTCCTCCAGAAATATTGTATAAGGAAACCATAAATATGAAATAATCTCTTTTTACTTAAAGTCTTCACTCTCAGGAATCTAGTTTCTACTCTGTAAAAGGCACTTTCCTTACAGTCCCTTTTGGGGTGACTTTCTGTGCAGTGTGTATTTAAATAGCTCCATGATTCAGGCTCACTCAGGAGTGAGACAATAACCAAACTGCCTGCTTATATGCTTAGATATAATTACATCTCACAGCAGTTGTAATTTTTTAGGCATGGTAGCACTTTCATTTTGATAAAGGAAACTCCACACAAATGAAAACCTGTTGCCATACGATAGGCTGTTTCAGGAGTATGCTGATCTCAAAAATCATCTTATTCACAGTGGCTAGTGTTAAAAATGAATAATATCCATCTTTCTATTAAACTGACAGAGAAACTTACACAATACAGATGGTCTCTGACTTATGATGTTTTGACTTGATTTTTCAATTTTATGATGGTGTGAAAGCAATACTTAACTCAGTAGAAACCATACTTGACATTTTGTTTCAAAGTCATTTATAACTTTATTACAAAACAGGCTTTGTGTTAGGTAATTTTGCCCAACTGTAGGGCTAGTGTTCTGAGCCTATTAAAGGGAAGCTCACTTTAGCTATGATATTCCAAAAGTTAGGTGTTTATATGCATTTTTTTTTTCAGAACTGGGAATTGAACTTTACATATATTTTTGACTTATAAATTTATTGAAATGTAGAACCACTATAAATTGAGGAGCATGTATTGTCAAAATCAAACCATAGCACTTTATTAATTGTGTAGACTAATACCGTACAGATGAAAGCGAATAGTCATCTGCATAGCTTCAATTATAGAGAGTTCTGACCACCTCAGGAAACCAGAACAGCACTGACACTCTTAAGTGAAAGGAAGGAGTAGAGAAAAAAACACTTCCTGCTGCAAATAATTAACTCTTGAGTCCAGGACAGAGGAAACTCTGGGAAAAAGCAAAGGTGAATCTTAGTGTATTATACCTGGTTAATCCTCAGGCCAAGAAAAAAAACAGTGGGATGAACAAGAGTAAGGAGGAAAAGAAACTGGGGAGAAAAGGACAGGACAGTGCAGAAGCCACGAAACATCCAGAGGCAGTGACAGCCCCGGAGTTTACAAAACTATGGCACTCCCAGAAGTGAACTTCCAGAAAAAGGACACCAACATCACACTTGCTTTTGGTCTCAGGATTATGGCACTTGTGCTCCTGGGGGCACATCGAATGAGGATACCCGAGACAGGAAGGAGGGCAGGCCTGCAGTGGCCCCACAAAGCACTACCAAACCAGGTGCTACTGTTCTGCAGAATTCACGCACCTACAATATTTAAGTGACAATGGAATACACTTCTCTGACAAAACTAAACAAAAAAAGGGGATACAAAGGAAGGACCATTTTGCATCTATATATTCAAAACAGGATAGATATACAGCTGCATTCTCTTAATTCAATGAATAGAGAAATTTGTTCTAATAGTGTTTGTGGACAGGATATCCTGTCTGCATCTTGCACTATGAATAACCACTAAGAAGACAACAATATGCAATGTATTAATTAATGAAACTGTCCTAATCGGTTTTGAAACTGTCTCATTGCTATTTGTTTCTCAATAAAATATATATATAAAAAGACTCTATCTTAGAAAAAACAAAACACCCCCACCCCTCTGCAAAGCTTTGTCAATCCCTACTAAATTCCAATAGATTTTGTCATCTTTGATATCAGATCATCTTTATTTTTTTTGATGACTACATCATCTAATTTAATTTTTACAATGGTCCTACAAGGCAGGGCTATTGTATCCATACAGTACATATGCAGAGCCAAGATTCAAGTGTTCAAGTCAACTGTTCATAGTCCGAGCAGATTAGAACTTTGTCCACTCACACTGGAGGCATTTCTCTGAACAAGTGGCTTGAGTCATCACAAAATTCAGAATTTCTACTCCAGATCTGCTTAATCAGTTTTCTCTCAAAATCCCTGCTGTTGGTATGACATAAAACTGATTTGTTTTAAGGCATGGATTAAAATAAGTCATCTAGGCTGTATTTACAAGGATAATGTAATTACAGCAATTTTCAGGAGTGTTCAGGCTCCCCCAAATAAATATTAGTGAGGAAAGATAAGTTGGGAGACCCAATTAGCCAGACTGGATCGGTTTCTCTGGCAGTGTGCGTACCTCTCCAGTACCCTTTTCTTATACAGCTGTAATGTACCATCGCTTGCCTTGGTAAGTCCAAATCCAGGGGTTGGATATAAGTTCTTAAGGAGAGATCTGCAAACTGTGTGCATCATCCTGTCCCTTGCTGCCTTGTCTTAGGACCATGTATTTATTTGGCATAAAATTGGAAGAAAAAACAAAACAAAACACAAACTCAGCTAAATGTTTCCTTTTATAAACTGAAGAAAAAGACCATGAGTTGTGACCTCAAAAGACTTATGTCAAGTTAAAAAAAAAAAAATCTCAGGTATTTCTTTCTCTAGTTGTTTTTCAAGAATGAATTATGTATAATTTCATTTGTTCTCTATTTCGGAATAATGAGTGTTCTAATAAAATGTTAGGATTCTTGAAATTTTGTCTTCATGTGGAAAGTCTGTTGTCGTTTACTCCTTTTTCTCCTGTGTTTAATTATTTATCCTATTTAGCTGGTTGCTTCTGATCTCATTCCTGGAGTTCTGATCATTTTGGTCCCTCTCTAGAGCATCTTTCAGGAACCTGTGTAGGGTTGGCTTTGTCATCATGAAATTCTTTAGTTGTTCTTTGTCATGAAAGTATTTCACTTCTCCATCAAACTTGAAAGAGAGTTTTGCAGGGTATAGTATTCTGAGCTGGGATTTGTTTTCATAGAGGACTTGAAGTATTCTGCTCCATGCTCTTCTTGCCTTCATGGATTGTGAAGAGAAGTCGGGCATAATTCTGATGGGTTTTCCTTTGAATGTGATCTGTGTCTTTTCTCTAGCGGCTTTCAGTACATTATTCTTGAGCTGAATTTCTGGGATCTTGACTCTTATGTGTCTCGGTGTGTTTTTAATTGGGTTGAGGTTACTTGGCTTTCTGTATGCTTCGGTTACCTGAATGTCAGATTGTTTCCTCATATTTGGGAAGTTTTCTATTACTTCTGCCCATATTTTTTTAATGTCATTTGTATTGACTCCTTTCTCATTGATACCTATTAGTCTCATATTGTTCATCTTTGCATTGTCTTGCAAGTGATGAATTATTTTTCCTGCACCCTAGTTGTTTTTAAGAGATCTTTTCTTACCTTTACACTAGCTGCACCAGCATCTTCAAGATCTGAAACTCTGGCTTCACTTTCACTTAAACAGTTTTGCAAGGTTGTGATTGAGATTTTAAGTTCCTCTATATCTTTTTGACTCTGCTTCATGTGATCTATTTCTTTTCTGTATTGCTCATTCAAGAAATCTGTCATTTTTCTAATTTCTATTTTTTTTAATCAATGTCAGACTCTTGCTGTCACTAAATGGCCCAGGTTGGGATTAAATTTGTTCCTCTCCTCCCTTGGCTTCCCAGGATGTTGAGATTATAGATATGTGCCATTATCCTGACTTAGTTTTAGTTTTGTGAGGAAGCTCCACAATGTTTCCCATAATAGTTGTACTGATTTATGTCCACAATGATAGGGAGTGAGAGTCCTCCTTTGTGCCTGGGATTCTTTTTTTTTTTTTTTTTTAATGGAACTGGGGATTGAACTCAGGCCCTTGCGCTTGCCAGGGAAGTGCTTATTCCACTGAGCCATCTCCCTGGCCCCAAAGCTTTGTTTCTATTTTTTCTTTTTTTGGTCCTTTTTTCCTGTCCTCCTGCCTCCTCCCCCCTTTTTTGCGGTACCGGGGTTTGAACTTAGGCCCTTGCGCTTGCCAGGCAAGTGCTTATTCTACTGAGCCATCTCCCCAGGCCTGTGCCTGGGATTCTATTCAAGGTGAAAACCAACAATGGCTTGGACAGACTTTGGCTTACTAGGGGAGAATGGGGCTGGAGTCTGAAAGTCAGAGTTCTTCCAAATGCACCAGAACATACTTCAGAAATGATGGCCCACAGGCAATCATACTCTACTAGTAAATAAGACAGGGCAATGAGGCGGAGTGATAGCAAGCATATGTGGAGCTACATACAGCAAATGATTTTATGGAGAAAAATCTTAAAGTCTCCTCTAAAGAGACCCAGAATGAGAAGAGTAACATTAATGCCAACATCTGAAGACATCAATTCTGGCAGCTGCTGTGGCTGTCAGCATAGGAATTAATTTTGCTGAGTCTCATAGCCAGCTGTGGCACAGCTAGTAAGTCTTCACACTCTGTGGCACAGTGGTCAAGCACACATGCTGTAGGATCACACCATTCACTGGTTGAACACTGGGCATGCTCTCTGTTCTCCCGGTTGTCTCTTAGCAGCTATTGGGGAATACATAATAGTGACTAACTTAAAGGGCTACACATAAATTAAATGAGTAAGAACACACAAAATGCTCAAAACAATGCCTGGCTCATAACAACCACTTATTCTGTTTGTGCTTTGGCTAAGCCTTACTATTTAATCAATGGTGTGATTGTGGGTAAGTTGTGTCCTTTTTGCATGGGTTTTCCCTACTTGCAAAATGGGAATAACAGAAATCTATCTTATTGTAAGGATTTAATGACATGACAACACAACATTTTGCCTATACTTGGCATAAGCCAAATCTTTATTAGATGCTTCTCCAAATTCATAACATCACTAATTCCAAAAATGAAAAACTTATGTAAACCAAAATCTTCTTATGACTCCCAAATTTGTGGCAGCAAAACTTGAAGTGACCACTTATTGAGCTCTTAATACAGTTTTGTGTCATTTAGTGTAAATATTCATCTTTCGCTGAATACTACGCTGAACAAGTGCATGAGGCCAGACACCTTGTATGTGATGCAGGACATTTCTACAATCTGAAAATACCTAAACTCAGAAACTTATCTTGAAATAAGGGGTGTGGACCTGTATTATCATTACTTGTACCTCTTCATGAAAAAGAGCAAAGCTAGCACACACACATAAGTGAATATATCAGGAATTTTTCCAAAATAGCAACTCACGATATTAAGCGAAGTCTCAAGCCAGTGGAGATAGTACATTAATCAAGAGGGCTGGGGAGATAGCTCAGTGGTCTAAGTGCCTGACTGGTAAACACAAGGACCCAGGTTTGATCCCTGGTACCACATGCCATGCCAGCCACTGAATGCCATGCTGGCCACTGAAACTGGGTATGCTAGTGCACACCTGCAATCCCAGTGCTGGGGAAGCTGAAACAGGAGGATCACTATAAGCTGCGTAGCAAGACCCTGAAATAATTAATTAAGGTTAAAAAAAAAGCCCACCGCAGAAGGCCTCAGAGATAGCTCAGTGGCATAAGTGCCTGCCTGAGAAGCACAAGGTCCTGAGTTTGATCCCAGTACCAAAACAAAAAACAGAGGGCCTGCTCCTTGGCTCAGTTGTTTAAGCACCTGCACATGCAAATGTAGTCAGGCTCAGGATACCATGGTTCAATCCCCACCTCCACCTGCCTTACCAGACCCACCCCTAAGGCATCCTGAGCCGGGTGGTGGGGTGGGGGAATCATTCCCCAAACAAAAAACAAACCCACATAGCAGAATATCTGATATTTCTCAATTTAAAAAGAGATTGATAAAACAAAAAAATAGCCATACTTGATGGAAAATATCTGTTCCATGTTATGCCTAAGATATTTGATATTCAGACAGATAGGGAAGTTAAACCCAACTGCATATGTTGTAGGGTAATAATAAGCCTCTCTTCTGGAGGGTTAACAACCTAAGTTTGCAGACCAAAAATTAGAGAAATAAAAGGGCTGCAAGGACAGCCAACATTTTGACCCTAGCCTTTCAAGGTCAATGAAGACGCAGGACATAGGAGAACATATACTGTAACATCATGTAACTCAGTTGTGTCCCAAATTTTCTGATCAAGGAGATTATGGGGCCATAGAGTAACATGATTGATGATGTAGAGTGTGCCTAAGGAGAGTCACATGGACAGAAAACATTCTCTCAGGCTTTCACAGAGAGCAAACTGGTCAAGCAATGACCATGACTCATCCACATGCCTGACACTGACAAAGGATCTACAAACTGCGGTACAGGGTTACAGGATAAATCCTGAGGGGACTTGACTGACCTTATCACATACAAAAGTTAGATTTGTTATATAGGTCTTGCTTTATCTTGATCTTAACCATCCAGCAGAAATAAAAATGAGGTATATAAAGTAAAGCCATATAAATATGCTGAGCTGTAAAAGGCTCAAGTCAACAACTTCTGCGGATAACCCATTACTATTGTGGACTGCTGGAATGTGTGGGATTGTTTTGCTGAATTCATGCACCTATGGTATTTAGATGTCAATGGAATACCCATCTCTGACAGGACTAAACAAATAAATGGGATACAAAGGAAGGACCATTTTGTATCTGTATATATACAGAATATTTAGGATAAATATACAGCTACTTTCACTTAATTCAATGAGAAGAAAGATTTGTACTAATAGTGTTTGGATGGGATATCCTGTCTCCATCTTGTACTATGGATAACCATTAAGAAGATAACAATGTACAATGTATTAATTATTGAAACTGTCCTATTAATCAGTTTTGAAACTGTCTCACTGCTGTTTCTCAATAAAATAAAAATAAAAATATAAAAATGAAAGAAAATTACTCAGGAAGGAAAAAAATAAAAATACAAGCTAATGAGACTTTTATACACATTTTCATAAAAGTGGTTAAAATTTAGAAGTTTTGGTGCACTATGAGATGCCACCTCTGGGCTTATAATTTGCATTTCCAAATGTGCTGCATACTCCTAGACTATTGTTCTCAGATGTAAAACTAAAGGCTGAAATAGTCACCGGTCTCTAGAGTCCTTTCAGCTTTAAGTCTCAGTTCTTGGTTTGTACATTAACCCTTTGGAACCGAACTCTTGTTCCCTTATCAGTCTCTTGGTTTCTCTACTCATTCTTACTGACATTTCCTTCCACATAGCCGGGACTATGTACACATGCCACAGCACCTGGTTTACATTAAATGATTTAACTTCCAGTTCTGTCATCACAGAAGCTGTGATGGAGGGTTCCATATGCCACGGAAGATTTCCAAAGAATGTGCCCTTAGACTAGGACTGAATGGGGCTAAAATTACAAACCTCATTTTTTCTTCATTGAGCAGCATGCTATACATTTGATAAAAATAAACTCCCAGCAGTTAATCATACTTGACCTGAAAAAAATGGTAACTTCTAAACAAATGTAAAACACAGAAAAGGAAAGATAAAGTGTATGGGGTTTTTCTGATTTTAATATTTTTGTCTCCGGATGAAGAATGGAGGTAGTATGTAGCTTTCTGTACAGATAGACTTGCCACTTTTAGCTTCTACAACAGCTTTATGGCTATGAGCCATCAAATAGTGACACATGATCACTAGCCACTAGGGTTCATGGTCGCATAATATCAAGGATGACACTGTGCTTAGGAAGCAATCCCCTGTGCCAGTTCTACTGAGGATTACCTCATTTAGTCTCTGCAACATCATGCGCTTCACAGACAGAGTCCTCCCTTGCAGCACGAGCCTGCCCAGGACGGATTCACTGCAGTATAAGCAGACAGCCAATTAGCAGAGAGGTCAAGCGGCTGCAGGTAAGAGGCATGCTGTTGTGCCTGGAGCTGTGGCTTCACCATAAAGACAAGCAGAGGCCACACAAGAGCACAAGACAGTCACAGACAGAGACAAGGACCAGGGCAGGACAGTCTTCAACAAATCTGACTTTATGTGAAGTATAACAGGCATTGCGGAATGCCTGATTCATAAAAATTATTTTTATGGTAGGAAGACAAGATGCCTTGGGATTATGAAAGCAAGGTTCTATGCAATGTACTTCAATTTATTCCCTCATTCTGTGTCCAAATCCATTTCCATACCAGAAAGCACCATTTTTAAAAATTAGTACATATATGCAATATATAATGATTACGTTCACCACCAGGAAATTCTTCCTGTACATGTCTTTCTTTTCCTATTTCCCTCTTCATGTATATAAGCCATTTCCACTTTTTCCTTTCCACTCTCTTTCCACATCCCTTTTTCTTCCTTCTCTCTCCTTCCTTGTTCCCCTTCCCATTTGAACATGTTCTTCCTATTTCCCAATACCCATCATCAATCTTACTCCTCATTCACCTTTTGGGTTTTTCACACAAGAGAAACAATGAGATATCAAAGATAAGGTAGCTGAGTTGTGTCTGCATCTTCTAATCTAGCCACTGATCCTCAGGTCTGTCTCTATGTATCACGTTGATTTTATCAGAGTAGCTTTATAATATAACTTCAGGTCAGGGATTATGATACCTCCTGCCTTTCCTTTGTTTCCCAGGATTGCTTCTGATATTCTGGTTTCAAATGATTTTTTTTCTTTTTCTTTTTTTTTGTGGAACCGGGGATTGAACTCAGGCCCTTGCACTTGCCAGGGAAGCGCTTATTTTACGGAGCCATCTCCCCAGCCCTCCAAATGAATTTGAGGAAAGTTTTCTCCAGCTCTGTGAGGTATGTTAATGGTATTTTAATTGAGATTACATTGAATCTGTATAATCATTTTGGAAATATGGCCATTTTCACAATGTTAATTATTCCTATCCAGGAGTATGGAATATTTTCCCAATTTTCTCAAATCCTCTTTAATCTCTTCTCAGTCTAATGTAACTTTCACTGTATAAATCTTTTACATCCTTTATGAAACTGATTCCTAAGTATTTTATTTTTTTTGGATGTTATTGTGAAAGACATCGTTTCCCTAATTTCTCTTTCAGTGCATTCATTGTTTGTACACAAAAATGCTACTGAGTTCTGGCTGTTGACTTTGCATCCTGCTATGTTGATAAAAGGGCCAGACATGCTCACTGGAAGAAAGATAGCCTTTTTAATAAATGGTACTAGAAAAACTGGCTTTCCACATGCCAAAGGGTAAAATTAGACCCATGCTTATCACAGTGCACAAAGCTACAGTCGAAATGGATCAAAGATTCAAATATTAAGACAGAAACACTAAATCTTCTGGAGAAAAATGTAGATAAAAATCTTAAAGACATAGGGGTAGGTAGAGAGTTCATGAACAAAAATTGAACTGTATGGGAAATACTTCAAGGAATCAACAACTGGGTTCTTTCTTTCTTTCTTTCCTTCTTTCTTTCTTTTTTTCTGAACTGGGGGTTGAACTCAGGCCCTTGCACTTGCCAGGGAAGCACTTATTCCACTGAGCCATCTCCCTGGCCCCTAGGGATCTCATCTTTTTGAAAACTTTCTGAACTTCAAAGCAAATCTCCAATAGAGTAAAAAGAACACCCACAAACAGAGAAAAAATTATAGCTGACTGTCCCTCCAACAAAGGCCTTCTATTGAGAACATATAAAGGATTTTTAAAAAGCAGGTCCCACAAATTCAAAGACCCAATCCAAAAATGGGCATCTGAGATGAATATTCACTTCTCAGAAGAAGAAATATAAATGACAAGTAAATATATGAAAAACGTTCAAACATCATTGGTCATTTGAGAAATGCAAATAAAAACAGCACTGAGATTCCATTTCACCCCAGAAAGAATGGCTACCATCAAGAAGTCAGCCAATAACAAATGCTGGAGGTTCTGTGGAGAAAAAGGAACCCTTCTCCACTACTGGTGGGAGTGCAGACTGATACAACCACTATAGAAATCAGTATGGAGATTTCTTTAAAAAGCACAGCTGGAACAAGTCTTTCAAAGAACCAACTCTTTGCTTCACCTATTCTTTGTACTTTTTGTCTCCAATGTATTAATTTCTGCTATAAAATTTATAATTTTCTGCTTCTTTGGGCTTGACTTGCTCTTCTTTTTCTACAAGCTTGAGGTACAGCATAAGATTGTTTATTTGGGCTTGTTCTGTTTTCCTAATGTGTGAACTTACTGCTATCAATTTTCCTCTTACGACAGCTTTCATTGCATTCAACAGGTTTCAGTAAGTTGTATCTGCATTTTCATTTGATTATAAGAACTTTTTAATTTCTTCTGTGACCCACTGGTTATTTAGTAGGTTGTTATTTAATTTCCATGTGTTTATGGTGTTTTTGTAGCTTCTTTTGTCAATAATTTCTAGTTTTAATGCACTGTGATCAGATAGTATGCATGGGATAATTTCAATTCGTTTGCATTTACTTAAGAGTGCTCTGTGTGCTAGTACATGGTCTATTTTACATACGGTGTTGTTTACATTGGTAGTTATAACTGACATATATTTGTTCACCTTTGTCATGTTATTTTCCTGCTATAGGTTCTGTACTTCTTCCTTCTTTTTAATTACTTGCTCTGCTTGGTGATTCCTTCTGTTGCTCTTAAAACTCTGATCATTTCTGTTTCTTTCTAGAATGTCTGTCAGTACTCTTTATAGGGTTGGTTTGGTGGTCATGAGTTTCTTCAGTTGTTCTTTGTCATAGAAGGACCTTATTTTGATATTGAATTTGATAGTTTTTCAGGGTACATGAATCTGGGTTGGAAATTATTTTCTTTCAGGACCTGAAATACTTCACTCTAAGCTCTTCTTGATTTTGATGGTTTATGTTGAGAAATCTGTTGTGATTCTGATGGACTTTCCATTGTAGGTGATCTGTTATTCTCTCTAGCAGATTTTAATATTCTATTCTTTTTTGGAGATCTTATGATGTGTCTAGGTGTAGATTTACTATGATTATGGCTCTGTAGAGTTCCATATGCCTTGCTTTTCTGCGTTAGGTTCTTTTCTAATATTTGGAAAATTTTCTGCTAGTACTTCTGCAAATAGTCTTTTTTTTTTTTTTTTTTTCTTGTTAAACTTCGTTTTAAATGGGTCTCAAAATTCTGTGACAGATTTTTGGTCAAGTTGTTTCCATTAAAAAGTATTGATTTTAAAAACTTAATAACTTAAAAACTGCCACACAGAAAAAAAATAGTCCACAAAACATTCTCCTTTTCTTCTGAAGGTTTTATGATGCATTGTTATCATTAATCAGTCTTTCACTATTAAACTTTAATGGCCAATTGGGAGAAACAGTTCTGTGACCCATCTTTCGCCACTGATTAAGACTGGGGTGGCATGTGGTAGGGATAATATTCATTTAGCCTTCTGAGCTTTCTGGGCAGACTTGGTGACCTTGCCAGCTCCAGCAGCCTTCTTGTCCACAGCTTTGATGACACCCATAGCAACTGTCTGACTCATATCACGAACAGTGAAATAACCCAAAGGTGGATAGTCAGAGAAGCTCTCGACACACATGGGCTTGCATGGAACCATGTTCATGCAAGCATCACCAGATTTCAAAAACTTGGGCCCATCTTCCAGCTTCTTACCAGACCAGCGATCACTCTTTTCAGCTCAGCAAACTTGCAAGCAATGTGAGCTGTGTGACAATCCAGGACATGGGCATAGCCAGCACTGATCTGGCCAGGATAGTTCAGGATAATCACCTGATCAGTGAAACCAGCTGCTCTCATTGGTGGGTTGTTTTTGCTGTCACTGGCCACATTGCCATGCTGGACATCTTTGACAGACACGTTCTTGACATTAAAGCCCACGTTGTCCCCAGAAGAGCTTCACTCAAAGCTTCATGATGCATTTCAACAGACATGACTTTAGTTGTAATGTTGACTGGAGCAAAGGTGACCACCATGCCATATGTGAGAACACCAGTCTCCACTTGGCCCACAGAGACAGTGCCAATAACACTGATTTTGTAGACATCCTGGAGGGGCAGCCACAAAGGCTTGTCAGTAGGGCGAGTGGGTGGGAGGATGCAATCCAAAGCTTCAAGCAGTGTGGTTCTGCTGGCATTGCCATCTTTACAAGTGACCTTCCATCCTTTGAACCAAGGTATGTTAGCACTTGGCTCCAGCATGTTGTCACCATTCCAACTAGAAATTGGCACAAAAGCTATGGTGTCAGGGTTGTAGCCAATTTTCTTAATGTAGGTGCTGACTTTAACAATTTTCTCATATCTCTTCTGGCTGTAGGGTGGCTCTGTGGAATTTTTTTTTTTTTTTTTTGCGTACCGGGGATTGAACTCAGGACTCTACGCTTATCAGGCAAGCACTTATTCTACTGACCTATCTCCCTGGCCCTGGAATCATTTTGTTAATTCCAACAATTAGTTGTTTTATACCCAGTGTGTAAGCCAGAAGGGCATGCTCACAGGTCTGCCTGTTCTTGGAGATACCATCTTCAAATTCACCAACACCAGCAGCAACGATCAGGACAGCACAGTCAGCCTGAGATATGCCTATAATCATGTTTTTGCTGAAGTCTCTGTGTCCAGAGGCATCAGTGATGGTCACATAATACTTGCTGGTCTCAAATTTCCACAGCGAGATGTCAATGGTGATATCATGCTCATGCTTGGCTTTCAGCTTGTCCAAGACCCAGGCATACTTGAAGAAACCCTTCCCCATTTCAGCAGCCTCCTTCTCAAATTTTTCAATGGTTCTTTTGTTGATGTCACCACATTTGTAGATCAGATGGCTGCTGGTGGTGGACTTGCTGGAGTCCACATGTCCGAAGACAACAATACTAATGTGAGTCTTCTCCTTTCCCATGTT